AAATATCCTTTTAATAAATCCACGCCTTGATGGGCTTTGAAAAAATATCCTTTTAATAAATCCACGCCTTGATGGGCTTTGAAAAAATATCCTTTTAATAAATCCACGCCTTGATGGGCTTTGAAAAAATATCCTTTTAATAAATCCACGCCTTGATGGGCTTTGAAAAAATATCCTTTTAATAAATCCACGCCTTGATGGGCTTTGAAAAAATATCCTTTTAATAAATCCACGCCTTGATGGGCTTTGAAAAAATATCCTTTTAATAAATCCACGCCTTGATGGGCTTTGAAAAAATATCCTTTTAATAAATCCACGCCTTGATGGGCTTTGAAAAAATATCCTTTTAATAAATCCACGCCCTGATGGAAAAATATTCTTTCCAAAAATTAATCAGTGTTACGTGGGCCTGTATGCGACTAGGGGCCAACTCCGTTCGGACACCAGCTAACTCAGCCTTACTTCTCCTGGGTGTGATTTACGCACGAGTTCGTAAAAATTCTGTAACATTAGTCCCCAATATTTTAAAATCTCTCATTAATGTCAAAATGTTGTGTTAATGACGATAATCACTTTTTTCGCAATGAACCACCCACCTCTTTGAAAACTGTGCACTGGCCTGAAAACAGGAGTAAACCACAAACAATCCTTTTCATCACTAACAAGATAAAAAAATAAATCTCTACTTATATCCATCATCCCATCGAACCCTCCACGGCGAACTACATAACTCAAATGACCAATTGAAAAAAAACTGGAGAAGTGACGTGTGTGTGTGTGCCAACAACAAAGTCATATTCGTATTAATGACAAGATACGATTATCATGAACATAAACAAAGGATACGTGCCGATGGTGTGTATGCCGACCACCTTCCGATAAGGTAATCTTGACGAGCCTCTCAACAATACAAACAATGGTGAAAAGCGTTAAAAAGGTAAACAAATGAACTCGGGCGCCGGCGATGAGACTGGAAGGCACTAATCCCCATACAGATAATAATGAAAAATTCAAATTAGAGAATCTGCGAAGGAGAGATCATCATCAGCCTCATCGACATCATTACCATCTGCAATTTACCATTCCCTGCTGAATATGAAAATAATTAACTTCCGAAGGGGTAAGGGTCCAAAGACCAGTTAACTAGCAGATCATGATAGTGTAGTAATGCCTGAATGAGAATATGGTCACGTTCAAACCTCTTCGGCTCATCACATCACATCACAAGTGAACTCAATCAAAATGTGATCTGCAAATAAGTCAAGAAGTCCCGAAACAACTAGTGGCAATTTTCTCTTTTAATAGTTCAAGACTTCTGAACGCAAAATACTCTTGCCAGGGCAAAAATGAAATGGAAAGGAAGTCATCCAAACCGAAAACGAATGAAGATCGGTGGATCATGTCATTCTCATTGTGGCATGGCAATGAACTACGGCATTCTTGATTCGAAAGCTAAGGGAATTTGCATGAATGAACAGCCAACATTGAGCCATAATCGGTATTAGCAACAAACAATTTTATGCTTCGTATTGACAGGTATTTGAGGAGAATCAGGGACGTGACCTTTGGAAAAAAATTAAAAAATTCCAAAAAATACTCTTTAAAAAAATCGATGACCTCTCGAAAAATATTTTTTAATAAATCCACGCCTTGTTGGGTCAATTCGATGACCTTTCGAAAAATATTTTTTCATAAATCCTCGCCTTGTTGGGTCACTTCGATGACCTTTCGAAAAATATTTTTTGATAAATCCTCGCCTTGTTGGGTCACTTCGATGACCTTTCTAAAAATATTTTTTAATAAATCCACGCCTTGTTGGGTCACTACGATGACCTTTCGAAAAATATTTTTTAATAAATCCACCCCTTGTTGGGTCACTTCGATGACCTTTCGAAAAATATGTTTTAATAAATCCACGCCTTGTTGGGTCACTTCGATGACCTTTCGAAAAATATTTTTTAATAAATCCACGCCTTGTTGGGTCAATTCGATGACCTTTCGAAAAATATTTTTTGATAAATCCACGCCTTGTTGGGTTACTTCGATGACCTTTCGAAAAATATTTTTTTATAAATCCACGCCTGTTGGGTCAATTCGATGACCTTTCGAAAAATATTTTTTGATAAATCCACGCCTTGTTGGGTCACTTCGATGACCTTTCGAAAAATATTTTTTGATAAATCCACGCCTTGTTGGGTCACTTCGATGACCTTTCGAAAAATATTTTTTGGTAAATCCACGCCTTGTTGGGTCACTTCGATGACCTTTCGAAAAATATTTTTTGATAAATCCACGCCTTGTTGGGTCACTTCGATGACCTTTCGAAAAATATTTTTTGATAAATCCACGCCTTGTTGGGTCACTTCGATGACCTTTCGAAAAATATTTTTTAATAAATCCACGCCTTGTTGGGTCAATTCGATGAGCTTTCGAAAAATATTTTTTAATAAATCCACGCCTTGTTGGGTCAATTCGATGAGCTTTCGAAAAATATTTTTTAATAAATCCACGCCTTGTTGGGTCAATTCGATGACCTTTCTAAAAATATTTTTTAATAAATCCACGCCTTGTTGGGTCACTACGATGACCTTTCGAAAAATATTTTTTAATAAATCCACCCCTTGTTGGGTCACTTCGATGACCTTTCGAAAAATATGTTTTAATAAATCCACGCCTTGTTGGGTCACTTCGATGACCTTTCGAAAAATATTTTTTAATAAATCCACGCCTTGTTGGGTCAATTCGATGACCTTTCGAAAAATATTTTTTGATAAATCCACGCCTTGTTGGGTTACTTCGATGACCTTTCGAAAAATATTTTTTAATAAATCCACGCCTTGTTGGGTCAATTCGATGACCTTTCGAAAAATATTTTTTGATAAATCCACGCCTTGTTGGGTCACTTCGATGACCTTTCGAAAAATATTTTTTGATAAATCCACGCCTTGTTGGGTCACTTCGATGACCTTTCGAAAAATATTTTTTGGTAAATCCACGCCTTGTTGGGTCACTTCGATGACCTTTCGAAAAATATTTTTTGATAAATCCACGCCTTGTTGGGTCACTTCGATGACCTTTCGAAAAATATTTTTTGATAAATCCACGCCTTGTTGGGTCACTTCGATGACCTTTCGAAAAATATTTTTTAATAAATCCACGCCTTGTTGGGTCACTTCGATGACCTTTCGAAAAATATTTTTTGATAAATCCACGCCTTGTTGGGTCACTTCGATGACCTTTCGAAAATATTTTTTAATAAAACCACGCCTTTATAACCTATCGAAAAAATATTATTTTAATAAAAACCCCCTCCTCTCTGAGTATATTTGCTACGCCCTTTGTTCACGTTATGCAATTCCATTTAAATTGCTGCATAAAAATTCATCCATTTCAGATGGCAAGAAAATTGATTTTGTTGTTGTGACGTTAAAATACCTTACGAAATCGATTATGATTTGCTGATGTATCCAGAACCAACAAATTGTGCAAAACAAATCAAACAGACAAGAGGAAAATACTCTGATCTGATCATAGCAAACAGGAGAAACACCTTTACCGCACCATAATGCAAAAGAAGAGACGGAAAGTTCTCCTTAGAGAAATCCAGTTGAAACGGATCATCATCCGCCAAACGTCATTCCATCTAAAGTTGATAATTTATGATTTTGTTGATCTTTGTTTGCCGCTATTTGATTGTTTTTGTTGTTGTTGGTGTTGTTCTGGTGAAGAGTTCAGATCATGAAATTTTTGTGTTGCTACTGATGTTTTTCTGTGGTTTCACACTTTGGTTAAACAAAATTGATACGCCTGCACCGAATTGAAAAAAAAAACAACAACAAAAACTAAACTCTAACAACACTGCCACCGAAAACGAGACATGCCAAGGGTTCATCTTCTTGGCGAGAAAACAAGGAGTTATGATGATGATGGCGCATAAATCTCATAATGGGTGAAAGAGTTCAATCATGTCTGTCTAAGTCATGTTTATGAAGGCCTGCGTGCCTGCCTGACTCAGCTTCGTCATTAACAAATAGCACCGCTAACTGCAAAGATAAAGAAAATTTGAATTTGAAGAGAGGATGGAGGTATATTTGCATAACTAATGTGGAACTTAGTGTCTGCTGATGTTCTTCCAGTCGTTGTTAGAAAATAATTTGTTAATAATCATTGGGGAACCATGCAGGGGAAGCAGAAGGCGCCAGTCTAGTGAAGAGGTGATATCAATTGGTGTTCCTAATTTAACACCCTGCATCGTCTTCCTTTGGGGCCAAATTAAAGATTATAGATAAAAGATTCACGCCCTCAATTTGTAAGACTATCGAGAACACAGGGCAGCCACATTACGATTTGGTTGTACAAAATTATATGACAAGGATTGCAGGTCTGTAGGTCCCTTCGTGGCGGTCATTTGGCAAATACTGCCTTTAAATATTAACGGCATTCATCCGATATCTTTGCCTCAAACAATTCAATATTTCTTTGAATACCAAAATAACAACCTTTTATTGAAGTCGTAAACCTTTCAGCTTAATGAGTCACCCTGTAAACAATAAATAAACTCTCTGGACACTTCCAATATTTCATGAACAACAATCGATCTCCACACCCCTGTCATATGACATTTTCAGCTTTCAGATACCTTTCGTTTTTTGCTTCAATCCACACAATATTATAACGATACTGTCTGGCATTTTTAATCTAAAATTCGGAAATTCAATAAACATAACATATCTAAACAGCATCAATCTTCTCTCTTTTAATCTCAGTCTCTTTTCCCTTAAAATTTGAATGTAACAGCTGACAAACCAAAACATTGAACAAGGCAAAGCAAACATGTTCACAAAAGAAATGACACTAGTTCACACAGTGCCATTCAGTGAATAAACGCACACAATTGAACATTAAACAAGAAGAACAAGCAGCAAAACGTTTTGTGTGAAGAATTACAAAGAAATTTCGTGAAATTATTAATATTTTACCAAAAATATTTTTAGAAATTAAGCCAAATAAAATAACAAAATGACCACAGCTGCCAGACCAACATTTGATCCAGCCCGTGGTGGCAGCGGTAAAGGTGAAAAAGATTTGAGTGCCCTTAGTAAACAATACAGCAGCAGAGATTTGCCTGGACATACCAAACTGAAATACAGGTTAGTGGTAAACAATAGTCATCTTATTACCTCCACCATAATGTAGATCTCTTTTCATTACAACACAAATATTTTCTATCTAAATAGTTTAGTCATATGTCCGTATGTCCGTCCGTCGACTGAACTCATGAGAAGGATCCCAATATTTAATATAGACCTTAGAAAATCTTCAAATACCCAGCTATTGCTCCCTGGATTGGCGATGTTTGGATATAGCATCCATTTCATGTCACCGATGAAGGGTTTTAATTTGGAACTCGGTTCTTGGAGGGTGAAAAATATCTTTGCAGAAAATTGTGAATACAGATACATAGCCCCATATAATGGTTCTGCGGAAGATAATTTATGATATACCTTTTAAATTGTGTACTTAGGTTGCTGTGATGTTCAGCATTAAAAATGGTGTATTTCAACCCATATTTTGTTATAGTCCCCAGACTAACGGTACCGCACAATTTTCTTTAATTTGATGGTTTTAGTCTCGTCTTCCAACCGAAGGGCCGGTAAGAGAAAATTATCAATCAATAGGTCTCGCCCTATATTAGGTATTTCGATGGTTCTAGTAACACCTTACAGCCGAAATGGTTGAAATTTGGCATTCCTGGTAGATATGGAACTTCTTTACTGAAATTGTTTAACATAGATCCTTGTTTCGACATATCCCCAATATAACAGTCCAAGAAAAATTGTCAATGTTGGACCCTCTTTTGGCATTGATAGGTGCCAGTCGAAACCACTGGCAGGAATTTAACATAACCTAGCCCCCATAAGGTCTCGACACATCTAAGGAATTTTGAATGCTCACCTCATGGCGGGGGGTATAACAAGTTCGGCCCTGTTGAACTTAACAACATTTTCACTTAATTATTTTTTTAAATTAATCTTTGTTTCCTACTTTCAGAGAAACTGGTCAAGGTACCTCCGATGAGTTGCGCAATCGTGATTTCCGCAAAGAATTAGAAGAACGCGAACGTGAGGCAAGGCCCAGTAAAAATCTACCCTCAATTGTGCGTAAAGCCATCGAAGCCAACAACTCGTCATCGGCCAGTAGTACACCGAGTAGTAAACGTGCCAAATTGGATGCACCACCTGCTCCAACAAATCTTGATGCTGATGATCCCGTCGATAACGACAGTTCTGATAGTGACTCTGATTCAGATGATGAAGATGACACTGCTGTGTTGCTAGCCGAATTAAATAAAATCAAACAAGAACGTCTGCAGGAGGCAGCACGTAAAGAGCAAGAAAAGAAACAGGAAGAAGAACGTATTCGTATGGAAAATATTCTATCGGGTAATCCGCTGATAAATTATGCATCTGGGTCGGCAGCAACAGCCAGCAAAGCGGTGGCAGATCTAAAAGTTAAACGTCGTTGGGATGATGATGTCGTTTTTAAGAATTGTGCTCGCACTGAACCCGAAAAGAAAACACATTTTATTAATGATTCGCTGCGCAGTGAATTCCATAAGAAATTCATGGAGAAATATATTAAGTAGTTTAAGATTTTTCTTCTTCATTTTTCTTTTAAAAATAATTTGATAACAGTACAATACATAAAAATAGATAAATAATTCATTTTTTAAATACATTATAAACGTTTTGATTATTACTTTAACTATTCGTGTATAAAGATTGATGTTGCACGGTTGAGTAAAAAGTAAAATTGGTCGGTGGGTCTTAAAAAATGGACAAAGGAATTTTAAGTTATATAATATTACCGGATATATATATTTAATAGCTTAAACCTTGGTAGATGATATGATTAATTTGGAGGACTACGACTATAATCCACCGAGATCTCGAAATGGATAATCAGACGAACATAACTAAAAAATAATTGTTTGGCAATTTCTTCCATATCTGGCCATATTTTCAAGGAAGTCCGTGTATTTTTGAAATTATTTGTTAAGGAAACCCCACAAGCTTGGATTTTTATACCCTACACAACTATGTTGTCAGGGTATTATAGCTTTGTGCTGCCCCAAGAGTTTGTAACGCCACGAAATATTGATCCTAGACCCACCTTTAAGTATACCTAGACATCTAGAAATGTCCGTCTGTCCATTATAATTTGTAAACACGATACAGGCCACAATTATGGACCAATCACGAAATTTTGCATGTAGGGTGGTTCTACCCAATGAAGACCCCTATTGTTTTTTGAAAAGATCGGTTAATATTTAGGGGATGAAATGGACCAAAAACTTAATTTTTGTCTGATTTTCTGGTCGCTCCAGAGGCCACAATTATGGCCCAATCATCGCGAATTTGTACATGGAGGAGGGGATCGGGCCAAAGAATAAGCATGGCTGTTTTGATAAATATCGGTCAATATTTAGCGGGTCAAATTGACCCTGACATTTGTGTGAAAAATGACAAGATTTGTATTCTATGGCGTATATGATATATGATAGGAGTGGTTGACCTTCACATTGATACCAATTATATTGTCATATGTACTCGGAAGTGGGAGTTACACTTAAATATTTACAGGTGCTTAAGTATTCAGATATTATTTAGTGAGGCAGTAACCCACTTTAGGGGAAATATTCCGTGGGGTTCCCGTTATGGCCAAGGACAACACCTATAATTTCCGACAATGATCAGATAATAATTTTGGGTGAAGTGGGCCAAAATCCCAATTTTTTGTGTTTTTTCGAGTCGATCTATAGGCCACAAGTGAAAGCCGAACATCACAACACACGGTGAAGGGTATCTGAACAATCAATTAGAAGGACTGTACAGAATATTAGAAATATTCGGAAAATGTGTCAGTGTAAGGAAGAGGTGCTTTTGACCTCTAATTGGGCAACAGGGTGTAGGATATCACGAAATATTGCCCAGGCTCGGAATAAACATCCGCAGAAAGTTACAGTTCCGTGGTAGGTGTGTAGGGTATCGAATGGTCGGCCCTGCCCGAATATATTGCTCCGCTCACTGGTTTTATTTTGGATTTATTTATTTTTTTAATAGAAGCGTTTATTTGTTTTTTTTAATAGAAGCGTGGATTTATTTTTTATAGAAGTGTGGGTTTAATTTTGTTTTTAAATAGAAGATTGGATTCATTATTATAATTATTTTTTTTTAATAAGCGTGATTTTTTTTTTTTTTTGTTTTTTGATAGAATGGATTTAATTTTTTTAAATAGAAGCGTATATTTTTAGTTTTTTTTTATAGATGCGTAGATTTTTAGTTTTTTTTTAATAGAAGTGTGAATTTTTAAAAATATTTTTTAAAGAATAACCACCACAAAAATTTATTGCCTCGTTTTTTTAATACCCACAAGCTTAGTTTTGCAATATTTATTTCTTAAAAATTTTCAAAAAAAAGTGGATTTTCAATTTATTTATTTTTTAGATCATAAAAGAGGATTAAAAAAAAATTTCACTCAATGTTACAAAATTACCACCATATTCGGTCGGTATATTAGTCGTTTTTCAGCTGAATGTCTCTAAAAGTACGCCCATATTCTCGTAATGTTGAGGATATAAGGCATATTCTTTAACCGAATTGGATTATCTTTGGTATTTGCAGTACTCATTAGATGGTGAATCTTCATATACTTTTGAAAAATTAAAATTTCGGTCGATCTTTGTGTACATTTTTGACATTACGAAGTGGCTGTTAACATAGCATAATCCCAATATAAAAATCCCAACAGTTTTTTTTATGAATCTGAAGGGTATGAATATTCCGTCCCCTTCTAAAAGTCCCGATCGATTTTAAATATCTAACTCCTGATGAAGAGCAAAAGAGATTGGTCCCGCCACAACTTAACAACCTTTTTCTATTACCTCAAAAAAGATCACCTTTTAATGGAATGAATACTAGCTGATCAAGTTCAAGCATGATTTACATGGAGCCCCCTTTTTTTAAATGCATGTAATTGTTCAGGATTTTAGGTTTTTCTTCAGCAATACTAATAAAACTGACGAGATTCTATAAATAGTTCACAAAACAACAAAATTTGAAATTAGAACTTACCAAAGTCATGTTTTAAAACGTCCAAGATTTTAGGCAGATAAACATCTTCTTCGAGCAGAAAGTGGTTGGCGATCTTCTGGATTCGAATTAGAGGTAGTACCATTGAGTATATGCGGATAAACTGAACGTAGTTTTGACAATTTTTGGATAACAATTAATTATAACATCTATTTTTTTCACAAAATAACTTGCACATTATACCGAAATTGATAAAAAGTTATAAGCGCCATATTTCGCGTCTATAAAGTTAATTAAATGTTAAAGAACCGTTTGCGTACATTTTATCAAGTGACATTAGTTCTTCTTCTTTCCAACTGCCTTCGAGTGGTATTCACTACGAATTAATAACAAATACTTTTCAAAGGAATAGCTTCGTACCCCAAATGAATAATGTAAATATTTAAACGTTATTGTTTTTGTAGAGTCATGGACAAAATACAAAAATTTAGTATTATATAATTTCAATTGGGTCACAACTAATTTTAAAAGTAATAATGAAGAATATCTGGTCTTAATAATGTCCGTTACGTGACGTAATGACTACATTACCATACTCAGTAATCAAATGCTGAAATCAGCTGATTCATTGCTATCAAACATTTCGATGACATTTCATTAGTTTTGTTTGTGTGTTTTTCTTATTGGTAGCCGAGAAAAGTCTTTGGAAATTAATTCACTAATTTTATTAAAAAATCAATTGTTAATTTGCTAAATAATTAAATAATAACATTTGTGAAATAAACAATAATAGGTAAACAACAAATCTTGAAAAGAAAATAAAAAAATTACGCTTTAAATTTGTCTTCAAATTGCCTTTGTGGAGCTTCATTTGGGGAGCCCTAGAGCCGCTCTCACTCACACAATTTGACATCTCTGTGCAAGCTAAAACAAAAATAAACCAGTTGATTAGAGAACTTTGCACAGTGTACGTGTATAACTTCCAATTAGAACGGAGAAAAATACATAAAAAATAGAAAAGAAAAATCCAACTAGCACAAAAGTGAAAAGCAGAAATTCAGTATCATCGGATACGATAAAGTGCGTTGTAATAATTGAGCAATTAAATTAAGGGCACATATATTGTCAAAATTTGCCTATTTGTCAAATCACAAGAAATTTATCTAAAGTGTCGTATATTTTCTCACTGATTCAATTACGTACGTGGTACATACGTTCGTTTGTCGGTTTGTTCGCCCGCTGTTTTGTTGTTGTTGCCTAGACCCCATCGTCATCATATTTGGTGATTTGCATCGGCGGAGACGGAAGACAGTGTCATTCTCAACCTATTTTTTGTTATATACGTGTTTTGTCATTATTTGTATGCAGGGTCAAAAAAGGCAATTAAAATTCATTCTGTGTTGAAAAAAGAGTGAACAAAAGAAGTGATAATTGTGAAATCATAGTTAACGCCTTCAAAAATACACACATATATATATTTTTAAAAAAATAGTTGATACATATATTAAATCCGTGAATTTTTCGAATTTTGTCAAATATTCATCAAGTACTAATCAGTTTGCAGAAAAGTGGAGAAGTGGAAGAGAACACGAACCTCAACAAAACGAATGGATCATCCAAACAAAGGAGGAGGCGGTGGTACGCCAACACTTGATAAGCCGTCTATATTGGAAGGTAATTGAACTCTCAATTTTTTTGGAATTAAATTAGTAGTACTTTTCATTTTTGCTCTTATCAATGTGTTGGTATTTTGAAATCCGAGACAGTTAATAAAAGACAGGTCATTTTTATTAGAAATTTTGAAATTAATTGGTGTTTGCACAATGCATCAGTATGATGAATAATCAAATGGCGACATTGTTAGGGCAAAGTAAATTTCAAAACAAAGAAATTCAGTGGATATTCCATTTATTGCGTTTTGAACAATAGAAAAAAAAACATGTAGAAACAAATTGAGTTTTTGGGGCTAATCTCGGATTTTTTGAATTTTTGCCACCTGATAATTCCCGAGATATGGACCTCTGACCGGGAAAATTCGGCTATGCGATCGAAATTTTCTTTTAAATAAACATGAGTTACTTGATCCAATCTTTACATATTGACCAGCCACTTGTAGATAGTTTGAGGTTCTTTGCGATCCGGGTTTGTTTGATTCTCAAGGCAAACCTTGTTGCTTGTAACCTGGGTAAATCGCCCAGTGGCTGAAAATGAAGCATCACTTTCAATGCAGCCTGAGGAGTTCTTCTGAGCATCCAGTTATAAGGGGCGATTCATGCATAAGCACTATTAAATTTATTTGTATGCGTTCCTCTACATTAACTCGATGTTAATTTGTAGTAAAAAAGTTTAATTTGTAATAAAAATTTGTCTTCTTGAGATTGTCCCCAAGACCATTGTTTTGTGTCTATTTTGATAAAATTACCAGTACTCATTTGACTATATCGAATATGGAGGGTAAAAATGTACCACTTATCCCAGCCGCCAGGAGCTTCAACAGAGAAGAGCGAAAATTAATACCTCGCTACCATCTCAACATTCATGCATGAATTCCGAAGCTCTGACAGGTACCTCCGGAGGAAATGATAAAGAGAGTTTAATTATATCCTCGTCCTAATCTACCGCGACGTATGTCGGTACAAAGATATATAAAAACCTTGACAACCTCGAAGCTGTACGGCGCGTTGATACCATCAGCTTAGTCTCCTCAATTTGTTCAAAGTTGGCTGTTACCGCTCGAAATGATCTATGTCATTGGCATAGGCGAGTAACATGTGTTGTTTGGTGTACAGAGTACCATTTCTGTTCACCTTTGCCTCTCGTATGACCTTTTTCAGCAGTTTGTTAAAAATGTCACACTAGAGGTTGTCAACTTGTCTGAATCCTCGTTTTGTATTAAAGGGCTCCGAGAGGTCCTTTCCTTTAACTGCTGACCTTGTGTCAGTTAAAGTTATCCTGCTAAGCCGCATTAATTCTGCGGGAATGTTGAACGCAGACATGGCTTTCAATACCTCCGAACGGATAGGACTGTCAAATACTGCTTTATAGTCGGCGAATAGATGGAATGTGTCGATGTGTTGTGTGGAGGGTGAAAAGCTGGTTAATGGTGGATTTGCCAGGCCTGAAGTCGCATTGGTATGGTCCAATAATGTCATTGGCTTTAGACTCAAGTACATCTTGGTTTTGTTTTGAGTTTACGTTTTAAAAATATATTGAAGCTGCTTCATATTAAAAATCAAAAATTACCAAATAACCAATAACCCTTAATGGGTTAAACCAACATATATGTACGTCAAGCATATTTATTATACAGTCATTGATCCATTGAACTAATATGTAAATAGTTTTTTTCTTTATTCAATTTTGCCAACAACAAAAGCAGCAAAATATTTACACTGATAACAATTTTATATTGTATTTTCATTGGACTTCAAATTTATAATGAGTCGTCGTCGTATGTGTCGCGTTTGACAATATCAAATGAGTCATGCAATTTCAAAATATAGATATCAACAACAATACACCCCAGAGAGGGAGTATTATAGCCCCGCATTGCAGACATCAGTAACAAAAGTTGAACGAAGAATGAGCATTTTTATAACTCTGTTTTTGTTTTTACATTTATTTATTTTTGTTCTCTTTTTTTATAGCTTTGATAATGGAATTCATTTCACTTTTATTTGAAAAATGTTTATTTTTCTAATTCAATTTAATTTTGTGGAGAATAAGAAAAGTGCATGGTAATGCCAAATTTTGCATTGAAGGCTTTCGATCACACCCTGAAAAATATTTCTTTGTAAACCAGTCAGGCGGAGTTATCAGCTGGCCGACCCCCTTGGTCTTTAACTGAAATAACGCTTTTTTATCATTGACACCTAGGCTAATTGCAACTATCAGCTGCCTATTGTTTTGATACTTTTTTTTTTTTGTACAACAAAAGAACTATTTTCTAATAGTTCCACCATGTTATCTATGCTTTCATTTGCATGAAAGCCTTGAGAGCGTTCCCTCCGGCTATTCATTGATATCGCGCTAACTCACTCATTGCATTGCATTTCCCATATGTGTACATTATTTACAAACATTCGCACTTACTCAACCGCCCGCTCCCACCCACTATGCCAACAACAACAAAAACCCTTTTGCCCATATGGTTGGTGTGTGAGAGACATGGTGGCTTTGTTATGCTATGCCAGTTGTTTTACAGACGGCTTTTTACGCTGTCTGCTTAATGGGGTTTCTTCACAGTCCATCGTCCGTGTGACGCCACTATAGCAACAAAATGTTCCATTCCATATCCAGAGCATTGGCACGCATAACTATTTCTCATCACCACTCGGCTTTCGCTCTCTTTTAGTAGTGTGGTTGTTTTTGTTTAAAAGCAACAGGTTATAAAAATATCCATTTGTTATTCATAATAAACTTTATGCAGCAGCAGGGTGTTAGGAGGGTTGTAGTAGGTAGGGATTACAATGTGGGATTTTTTTAATGATTTTGTAGGAAATTGATAAAAAAAAAAACATTTTTACAATTAAAGTAAAATGAAAAAAATATTTCCGAAAACCCTTAAAACGGCATGTGTACTTACTTAGCTGGCTTATGACAGAACGGTTGTTCCATAAGCCGAGCTTAAAACATATTTCCAAGCGCGTCGGTCTTGTGCACATCTCATCCAAATTGGATAGGTGGTATACACCTAGAGCTTACTCAATACAGAAACTACATCATTTACCCCCGCAGGTGCTGGAACACCCTGCCTATTTTCAAGACTTTAGGAATGATGTCTTCTCGATTTCGCGTTTATCTTGTTGTTATAGAGATTTTGTTCGGTCCCAATGTTTTCGATGCCTTTGTTCTTTGTATGACACATTTTTAAACATAAACTGTTAACTTTACAACGAGTAATGGAGTTCACACTTCAGAAGATAAGAGCAATTGTGGGTCATATCGCTGTGATTGTAGTGTCTTATCGCAGATAAGAGACTATGACGAAATAACTAATTTATTATGAACGAATTTTTTATAAACATTTAATAAAACCTACTACATCATATATTTTGCTAGAATCTCTCCTAAATTTCCACCCTTCTCAGCCGGCATCCCTAAAAAATTGTATTTAGTTTGTTTTTGCGTTCTTTTTTTCTTTTCATTTTTTACCTTTTTTAATATGCCTATAAAAATCAATAATGGTCGCAAGTACGCAAACATAATAAAATTAAATGGCAATGAAATTATTTTATGGAACCACCTGTTTCAATAACATAGCTAACATAGAACGGCAACTGTCTGAAGCCGAACTTTGTTGACTTCATTGTTGCTTGGCATATAGTAATCGTCAAAAATCCAATAGTATTTCTTGGAGGTTTTGAAATTGTCATATAAAAATCCATGGTTATAGAAATTCTATTTTTTTATGGAAATATTCTGGCAGGTTTCGGAAATACTCTTTAAAATTTCAAGCTTATAAAGTTCTGAGCGGTTTTCAAAAGATTCCCTAAAAATCCAGTGAGGCTATGAATTTATTCGCTAAAAATTCTATGAAACCCCTTGCTTATTGTAAAAATTCACGCTTCTAGAGCTGGGGAAGTATCTTTTTTGTTTTGCGCGCAGCTCTTCCAATTTGAAAGACGATGTTCTGAAATGTTCCCTTCCACTTGATCTTTCCATGTAATTCGTGGCGTTTCCCTTCTCCTTGGAGTTCCCCTTCTCAACCATCAGTTGGCTCGCTTTTATAATTCTTTTTAGCTCATCCTCATCCATTCTCACAACATGACCTAGCCATCGTAGCTCGATACGCCTGACAATGCCTCTCAAACACTCTAAGAGCTGCCTCATCTGCTTGCGCAAATACCCATGCTTCAGATCCATATAACAGCACGGGTAGTATCTGCGGCATGTAGAGTGTGAGTTTGGTCTGGCTTCTAAACAGCTTATTAGACCATATTGTTGTTGTTGTAGCAGTTTATATGAATATATTTTCCTGTTTAAATTCCACTGGCTGCAACCACAGTCAGACATCCTGGTCAATCCGGCTACTGCATCAGTATGAATGATATTCAGACCAGCTCGATAGGCAATTTGATATAGAGGCTCCCTTTTGTAACGTTGAACCTCTCTCTCTAGATATTGCAGATCCTTCCTGACACGCCTGAGTGGGGGAGTCTTATCCACCATATTATGGTTGGGACGATTGTCACTGAAGCACCCAGAAGGTACTGCAACGAAAGCATATTGCTATGCTGACATAAGGAATAGATCTTCGTCTCCTCATGAAGATGGTCCACTGGTGCCATGAGGAGGCACCCTGTCGCAGTCTTCAGGTCGGCGTTCTGACAGGTCTGAATACTTCCCCATTGCGTATCACTAGAGTTCGCATACCACACTGGAACCGCAAAGCTTGCCACAGACAGACTTATCGCTTTGTAAGAGGTAAACAAGGTTTCCTTATCTGCGCCCCGATAGCTGCCTCAAGCGACTTAAGGACCTTGTTCCTACTTTTCAATTTATCGCAGATAGCTGTGGTTTGTGCGCTTAGTAGCATCTGTTGGCCAACACTATCCTTTTTCGAATTACAAAACTGATGTCATTAGTTTTATTTATGGCGGTACCAAGGTATATAAAATCTTTGACTACCTCGAAGCTGTAGTTCTCAAGTTCCACAGTTAGCCCGAGTTTAC